AACTAATTGAATCAAGAGCTAATCCTAAATGATTCTGGAAATTGTTAAAGCAAGGGAGACAATCACAATTGCTAGTTGGAATTAGAACTGATGAATGGATGAAGCACTTTTCTTCCCTCCTCCACTCAGAAAATAAACCCATCTTACCTCCACCAATGGACACAGATAATTATGTAACTGATGTCACCCCGGCACATGAAGAATTAAATCAACCTAAAACAAATCAAGAAGTTGAACAACATATCCAAAAGCTTGCAAATAATAAATCACCAGGACCTGATGGTATTGTCTCATACAAAATATATAATTTTACCTACATTGACTGCTCTCTTTAATTAAATACTTGACAATGGTGTGTTTCCAAATGCTTGGAATAGATTTATCATTTGCCCTCTTTTTAAGTCCGGAAACAAGCATGATGTAAACAACTACAGGGGAATATCCTTGATTGATAACTGGTGTAAAATATTTACTTCTATCATAAACTGGAGACTTAAGAATTTTTGTGAGAAAAATAACATAATTGATAAACTACAAGCAGGATTTAGGTCCAATTATTCAACTATTGACAACAGTTTTAGTCTGCAGGCAATGACTCAAAATATGCAGGGAGAAGAAAGGGGAGATTTTACTGCCTCTTTGTTGAATTTTCAAAGGCATTTGACACCATAAGACATGATAATCTACTGAAAAGCCTACATGATGTTGGGATCAAGGGTAAACTGTCCAACATAATTTCATCAATGAATTCAAGTCTGTGTGCTTGTGTAAGGGCTTCAACTGGACTAACTGATTATTTTGAATGTAATATTGGCACGCGGCAGAGCTGTATTTTGAGTCCACAACTATTTATGATATTCATAAACAAGCTTTTAATTCAACTTGAAGACTGCGGAGGAGAAGATGTTTTTATATCACAAGATTTTAAAAATGGTTCTGCCATAACGTTTGCAGATGATATTTCGTCTGTATCATATTCAGCAGTTCAACTACAAAAGAAAATTGATGCTCTACACTTATTCTGTTTACAAACTGGTATGAAAGTCAATCTGAAGCAGACAAAAGTAATGGTATTTAGAAATGGTGGTCCCCTAAGAAGTTGTGAAAAGTGGTCATATAATGGTGAAAGCATTGATGTTGTTCCATTTTACAGATATTTAGGAATTAAGTTCACCCCAAAACTTGTGTGGACCCAGGCTCAAACATGTTTAGCTGCTCAGAGTCCCAAAGCTGTGTTTGCCATAAAAAGATATCAGAAGAAACTTGGTGATATTCCATGCAAAGATTTATTCAAAATTATTGATAGTATTGTAACTCCTATCCTGTGCTATGGCTCTGAAATCTGGGATGTTAATTACAGCAAAATTATTGAGGATATTCAAGTTAAGGTGTGCAAATCAGTTCTTAAAGTGTCAAGAAATACATGTAATGTTATGGTGCTTGGTGAGTGTGGTAGAGCTCCTTTACAGCTTACATATATGACAAGAGCTGTGAAGTACTGGTTCAGGCTGATACAACTGAGCCTGGGGAGACTACCATATATCAGTGTTACAAGATGCTAGCTGTTCTGGATGATTCAGGTCGCACCACCTGGTCGCACACACATTAAACATATTTTATTCAGATTTTGATTTGGATATGCATGGATAGCACAAGAAGTTGAGGATAAAATTGTTTTTATTTCCATGTTTAAACAGAGACTATTTGACAACTTGCAGCAAACCTGGAGTGTAAATGTGAACAGTTTATCTGACTCTTATTCCTATAAACATTTTAAATCACTACTAAATGTTGAATATTACTTAAATTCACCACTTCCATCTCACTTAAAAAGGATTTTAAGTAACTTTCCAATAGCAGTAAATACTGGAAGATATTATGCCTAACCATATGAAGAAAGACTTATTATTAATTTGTGAATCCTACAGCTCCCTTCGTAATGCACTTTTAGATAAATATATTACCTCTAACCTTCAGCATAACTTTATCTCTATTATTTCCTCAGATGCATATGATACCTTATATAAAATATCTTTTTTTCTTACCAAAGCTCATCAACTTAGGGTATATAGCTATAGTAAATAATCCACTACGAATTTATAAGTATATAAAAAAAATGTAAATAATGTAAATTTTCCCAGTTTGTAAATATGTCATTTTGCGCAGGCTTTATGTATTCCTGCATATGTATGTATTTTGGGCCAGTGGCCTTTTATTGAATAAATTGTTTGTGTGTCTGTCTGTGTGTCTGCCATACATTCAATGCAAAAAATAGCCTGCCCTAAATGACGAAAACTGATTTTTCTCTATGACGACAGAGAGGTTAAACACGAAAAAAGAAAAGGGGGCATAACTCAGCTATGCTTAGCTCCAGTTTATTTAAACTCAGGTCACTTGGTAAGAATTAGCTGTGGGTAAGGACAGTATATTTTCGTGGTATTTTGTTCACGAGTAACCAAACTATTCCAACACAAATATCGATATTGAAACTGTATACTCCCTTATATTACCGTAAGAAATTATGAAACTTACTTAATAAAAAAAGAAGTAATAGCGAAATGAATGGCCCTATCTAAGCTGTTAATAAGTCCTTAGATTACAACATTCTTCTGACTGTGCAAGTGATATTGGCTTATGTTGCACCATTATTAATGGAGTACTAGCCTTGTGATCAAATGTAATGAAATACTAAAAACATGACGACGTTCTATTAGATGTCATGGCTGCTTTTATATCTTTGGCAGCATCGGATAAAGACGACACTGGTATTTTGATTAATATATATATACCTCCCCTAATTACTTTTTACAATTCTTGGAGAAAGAAAGTAAACAGTTTTAATACCCTGTGATCACAATATTTAGAAAAAGATGAACATATTGATTATGTAATGCAAAACGAGAGGAATAATTCGTAAATCGTTTATGACAACGCGCACCTGCGAATCGTTAGATATCACTGTTATGTTTGTCAAACGACCTAAAAAAACTATTCCAAGACCAAGACAATTCTCCTGGAAATGTGTGCGTATATTTTAACTCAAAATATCCATTTGATTAAAGTAATATATTCAGTTTTAGTTTTAAAATAAAATAAAACGGCTATCCATGGAAGTTGTTTATATGAACTTATAATATTGACTTTGACACTCCCAAGACATTTCTGTTGAAAAATATCAAATCATAACAATGTATTTATTTTTAATTCCCTAATTCTTCCTATAATTCTCTTCCCATGCATATTCTGAACAAATAGACGAATGGATAGCTAAAAAAGGTGGAACATGCTACACTGTAAAATATGCATTTTGCTTTGTTTACATTTCAAACAAGTGCAGTTTTTGAACACAGCGTTGTTTTCACACCTAACTTATTTTGCTCGATTTGATCTCGGCACTTTGTATTGGTGACAGAGACCATGTGTCATTTGATTCTAAAATGTATGAGGAATTCAAGGATGCATGTATCACAGCTGAGTTTGAAATACGCGTAATGTTACAGGCGTCTCATTACCGGTAGGCTACATGTGAAACGTGATTTTTGTAAACACTATCTAATATGGCGGAAAGTTCACAGTATACAAAACTGTGAAGTGTATCTGCGTGTCTGATGTATTTTGAATTTTATTCGAATTTGAAGAGGAGGGACATATATATCCCTCTGGCATCCTGCCCCTGAGGGTGAAAAACAACAACAAATAACCAAAACCCTATCTATAGCTCTGAATTCATCTGGGAAATCTGGTCAGTCGTGAGACGAGAGTGTAAAGAAGGTGTCACCCGCTGGGAAGTAGCTTGATTGAAATGGTGAAATGGGAGAGATAAAATAAATATCTCGCCAATCAGAAATATTTCTTTTTAAATTTCAGCAGCAATAATATGCAACACATCTCCATTTGTTAATCTATATCGCCCATATGAGGCTTGTGCTGTACTTGCGCGAAACATTGTGCTGCCCTGTGAATTACCGATATCATATTTAGCAGAGAAACAGCAGGCAGCTTCAGTGTTTAGACCTAAGCTGGAATGCCGTGACGTCATCGACAGTGTGACGTCACTGTCATTGTACATTTGGCGCCACGTCAGCTGGGCGAACCTCGGCTCGGTCTGAGGTCACCGAGTGCAGCGAGATGTAAACAAACAGTTTTTTTGTTTGTTTTTCACTATTAATTACAAACTTATGGCGTAAAACTAACACAGAAATATATGACGACATGCATGAACATATCACGAGGTGCGGTGCTTACATACCAATCACACATCATCTCTATTTACACTCAGTTAACAATTTTATTACCTGATGATGCGAAGTTCCAAACACAACAAATGACAAAATGTCTGACAAAGTTTTTACAAGTTTTATTCACATCCAAAAACCACAAACAGTTTCACGTAAGTAAAGACATATTTACACACGACGACGTGAAGGGCACACCACGTCACTGTCAGGTCTCCCCACCGTCCACACAAACACGACACTGACGTCACTGAGCGCCGCGGGACACGAGGAGATCCAACGCTCGCGTACGTCCATTGCGTCTCGCCTAGGAGTCCGCCGTCCGTCCACTGTTGGTCCTGGCGTCGATGTCCACACCGTGCAGAGACAGCACACACTTCACCGTCTCCACGTCTCCTCTAATACAGGCAACCGCCTCCGTGGTCTTGTGGTAGAGCGTCCGCCCGGAGAGCGGAAGGTCCAGGGTTCGATCCCGGGCCGCGTCATACAAAAAGACGTTAAAAGATTGTACTTGTTGTTACCCTGTCTGGCGCTCGGCATTAAGGGGCTAAAACAAGGACTGGTCGGCTCGGAGTCAGTATATTGTGTCTGAGTGGGGTATTCATGTTAAACTGCGGCATGGTATCTCAGTGAGCTAGCACTATAAATCGGCATCAGTCCGGACAAGTACAAGCAGCCACACACACACATACACGTGCATGCACGTCGCTATATAAGTGCAATAATCTTGGACGCGACGTTAAACCCAATTTCACCTCACCTCACCTCTAATACAGGCGAGGTGAAGGGTGTTGTAACCGTCCCTGTCCACCAGTGACACATCGGCCCCTTTACCCACCAGGAGCTCCACCACGTCTCTGTGTCCAAACCTTGCTGCCACCATCACCGGTGTCCACCTTCCCCTTCTACAATCGACGTCCACGCCCTGAGACAGGAGCCGCTTCACCTCCTCCAGGTTCTCGTCCCGGCAGGCGTCATAGAGGTGCTCGCAGTCTGCTGGTGATGGAGTCGCTGTAACACAAAGTAAACTATGTACACTTCCAGACATCTTCGTCATACATCTACGTGGTTCACACCTCAACGTGGTGACACGTGACACGGTACGTCATCAACCACTTCCAACATGGCTGACAATACAAGGATCAAGGGGAAGGACGACAGCTGGTTCATGTAATCAAGGATTATGTAGTCAATGTTTAAAATCTTTCTGTCACATCCAGTTGTTGTAACATTATTCCGTGTGTGGCTGGAGAGTGTCAACGTTTGATGAACTGAGCTTTATGAGATGATACTGTCAGTACAGTTGTGGTTTGGAAATATTAGATAGATCTTATAAGACATGAAATTCGAGTATGTCAGTCTGTATGTTTGCAGTAGTCCAGCAATAAGATGGCGGAGTCGGATAAAGACTGACAGTCCAGTGGTTGACAACATGAGCACCGATCTACACAACTGGAATACGATAATATGCAAGAAGCAAGTCAGAACCCCCACGGGTCTATACCCCAGCTTGTTAATTGTTTGAGGGATTAAAGTGTGGGCTTTCTGCCTCCTGGGTTCTCCCACCTACCCTGTGTAGCAGGCTTTTTTGTTGTCGTCACTGGTGTACTCGCTGTCTGACTCGGGTCGCTCGAGGCTGAAACACAGAACATGCTGTTCAGAAAACAATACAAACTAAATAAGCATTATACATACAATATATTCGACAAAGTTTGTGTTTTTAAAATTTTGACTGATGAATACAATTTCAAAACCATTCATCTTAGTAGAGGTATAAATATAAGGTCGTCTAGCGTCTAACAAATCACTCAAACGACTAGATTCTATCATAAATACAACACAAACATTGAGATTGCTGTTAATCTGAGCCGCGCGTCAGTACAGGCTTGTTGGATTGAGCCTTATGGTGCTACTGCCAATACAATTGACTTGTTACAAATTATTAGGATAATAAGAGATTACATTTATCAGCTTGTTATTGTAGAGACTGTTCATATGAAGGTTTTTGGAGTGAACTTTCAGGCTTATATTTGTTACATGTTGATGTGACCTCATCTTGTACAAAGTTGGACAGTGACAGTATCTACCACCTGCTGGCTTCTTCCACCTACCATGGGTCGTCACTGTCGTCATCTGTGCAGCCCTTTCTCCGTGACTCGGGTCGTTCGAAGCTGAAACACAAAATATGCTGTTCATTAGGGTTAGGTGAGTTGGGTTTTACAGGTTCTTAGCAATATTCCAACAATATCTGGGCGGGGAACACAAGACATGGGCTTCGCACATTGTACCCATGTAGGGGAATCGATCCCGGTTTTTCCGCGCGAAGAGCGAATGCTTTAACCACTAGGCTACCCACCACCCAAAACCCCCATATATGCTGTTCAGAAAACTATATTGCAGGTAAACATTATAACTACTGGCCTCAGAGAAGCTTTTGCCTTCAACAAATGTGTGACTTTCAAATTTATTCACTGATGAACATAACTTATAATACATTTGTTGCAGTAGATGTATTATTAATATACCATAGCATGGTGACTGACACATTTTGGAAATCACTTATATTTATTAGATTTAGATTGCTTTTATTTATTTAATCACTTCCTGAATAAACCTAAGCTGCACACTGCCTCTGTGCTAACTGCTGAGATATATCTCTTCTCTTGGTTGAAGTTGCAGGAACTGAATAGATTATTTTGTTGTTATAAATAATATTATCATACAACATACAACATAAATGAACATTACTACATCAGCGATAGAAATTGGCACTCGTCCTATATTCCTTGCCAAACATCCCAATAGTTCAGATATCATAACGACTAGGCTAGTAAACATATGTCATTTTTAGGGTTTTATATGTTACCATTATGAGGACTAAGGACTAAACATCTTAGTTTATATTGCTGTACGCAGAATACACAGAATATGTTCATTTATTATTTTGGAACTTTACAACATGGTATTACTTCAGCTACCTACCCTTAATTCCCAATTATGGAATGATTAGTATTTTAGTCTGACTTCGTTAGTTGTGGGTGGAATGGTCCCCGCAAGTTGGTGCGTTGTTGCATAATATCTGCATTTGAGTATCAATACTGTAAATAGCAAACCTACTTCGCTCATACAGGTCAAATACTGAACATTGTTTTCTAATTTGCATTGCCTGCTATGTTATCACTGTATATTTAAAGTATACTCATGTATTTGTTGTGAGTGAGAATCAATGCACATCGTTATATATATTTTGTCCAGGATATGACGCCCACCAGTGTAATTCTGGAGGAAAATATATTTATCGTGCATTTCAACGTCTGTGGACAATGGACATTTTACACAATTGTTACATCGTCAAATCGACAACTGTCTTGATGGTTTCTCTGCGTACATATTGCCTTTGCCAATTGATGATAACAGGCTACTAAATGTAGAGTGCTGCGACCTATCGTAAATTATTTGTTGTTCCAAGTGACTTTGCTTGATGTTTTAGTCCCCACCCTCCCAAATACAAACACACTCTTAACTAGACTCTGAAACTGCATTTTACGTCGTTTGGTGTCTCGGGCTACACAGTATAACAAACGTCGATATACGACATGCTACAGATTAATATTTTAGTGATGACATTTTCATGATGATATTCAATGAATGTAAAAGAGCAACAGGTCTACATGACTCAGCGCGTGTGCAACACAGTGGTAATTCAGTGTCAGGAAAACTCTTTGCAACACTGTCACAATTCAGCATTCCGAGCGATGGCGGCAGTACACCCATCACAGATCAGCTTACTATCTGAGGCAGAAACTGTCGCCGGCACTACAAGATGTTTGATACAGTGTCTGCTTGTGTAAAGAAGGGAATAAACATGTGGCGCTATAAAGTGATAAGACTGAAATGCCGATTGCCCGTGTGACATGCGCCAAATTGTTTTCGCATTTAGCCTAACGTCCGTTCTAACTTACTCAAACAATAACGAGAATCATGCACATTTGCCCTTATATATTCTACATGTCCTTGCCATTCTTTAAAAACAATGTAGTGTCCTGCAGATATACAATTGTTCCACATAATATTTAGAGGATTAGAAGAACAAAGCTGCACGCCTTGAGTGTAAAAATAATATGGCTGACACGTTTGGCCATTCTATGATGCAGAACAACGTTTTAAAAATATGAACGAAAAAACGCATCCGACACTTGACTGAACAGATTTAGAATAATCTCATATTGTCTTCAGTCTCAGTTGTAAATAATTCTTATTAGTTCAGAGATGAAACGTACAAGCATATATTTTGCAATATAGATCTACTGATTAAAATAGAACAAGCTTTTCAGTTGAAACGAGGTATGAATGTTTACGTCCAGACGTTTGTTATCCCCGGTGACAGGCTAAACAAACGTCTGGGTGTAAACATTGTGTGAAGCACAGGACCATGTAGATTCTAACAATAAAAATATAATAAAAACTCGCAAAAAAATCATAGACGAGGCCAATTATATTTTTATTGTTACATGGTCCTGTGTGTGAAGCAAGCACCCGATTCCTTCAAAATGTAGGTCTATTCCGTTTTACATCAATCTTGGTATATTTACAATGTTAGTTTCATTTAATTTCCTAACAAAATTGAAGTACAAACTGAAAACTTACCCACCGTTTACGTCCTAACACGAGCGACACATCTCACTGCCAGTTAAGAAACGCCTTGACTGGCGAAGGGGCGAGCTATGACGTCAGTGTGACGTGTCTGGTTATGAGCATGGCATAGTTTGGCGCTCGGCTGCTTGTGCCGATCACGTTAAGATAATACAGTGTGGAGTGATACAAGATCTACAAGTCTTACTACCGTCTTACCATATTTCGTTTCAGATTGCATGTTGAGGTAAAAAATTAAGCCTACTTCATTGATTAAAGAAATCTACCTCATCATCGTGCGTAAAATATGTCTTTATTTTTATTCTAAGATGCTTTGCTAAAAGATCAAAGGCACCGACTATACTTTATCCTGCGACAAAGCATTGTGTCCACGTGAAGATCCGGGGTAGAATAGGTCTTGAGCAACCCATGCTTGCCGTAAATGGTGACTATGCCTGTCGTAAGAGGCGACTAACGGGATCGGGGGGGGTCAGGCTCGTTTACTTTGTTGATGCATGTCATCGATCCCAATTGCGTGGATCGATGTTCATGATATTAATCACTGGATTGTCTGGTCCAGATTCGATTATTTACAGACCGCCGTTATTTAGCTGGAATATTGCCAAGTGCGGCGTAAAACAACAAACCAACCAAACTAACCGTGCGACAGCAGTCACAAAATTGTTCGATGCGGGCGTCGGCCCCGGTGCCCTACGAATTAATTATATATATGTCTTCAGCATGGATCGATGCTCATGATATCAATCAATGGATTTCCTGGTGTTGACTCGATTATTTCCAGACCACCGTCATATCGCCGCTGTTATAAAAAATAATAATTTCAAAATCCGTCGTTTTTCTGCATGTTTTTTTTTAATATCAACTCAATGGACGGATAAGAAAATAGGACCTATTATAATAAACTAATTATTTTAGTCGTGTTGTATTATATTTTTAACGTAAATATGTCTCTGAGCGTAAGGGTATACAGGCAATCAAGTGGACCAGCCCGTCAGTAAGCCTGTTGGAGGATTTTCAATTTACCGTATGTTAATGCAGATTTGATTTTAAACCCCTCTCCAAGACAAAAAATTGATCATTTTTGAAATTCTGCATCTTAGAAAATTAATAAAGTGTGCTCTAGCCGCACGTATAGTGTGATAAAGTATAATTTTGCCCTGAATTATTATAACGTCAAAGCACCGCAAGCGTCATCGTGCTTTAACTATAATAGTTAAGGGAAACACTATACTTTTCATGGGGGTAGAGCAAACTTTATTTCTTAACTAAAACTCAACAGTGTGATTAATGACGTTTTAAGATAAATTAACAGAAGGCAAGGTAACAACAAGTACCTACTTTTAACGTCTTTGAGAATGCTTAGATGCAAGTTTCTTTACCTAATTCTTTTTCCAGATAGACGTGTGAGATATTAAAAGGTGACATTCTCAATAGCTCCATTGGCTTTTACCATACTAGTACACACGCACATTCTATTCCGCCATCCCTGTCGCTGACGACCGACTCCGTGGTCCAGTGGTAGAGGTCGGAAGGACCGGCGTTCGATCCCCGGCAGCGTCATACCAAAAAAACGTTAAAGGATGGTACTTGTTGTTATCCAGTCTGGCGCTCTCGGCATAAACGGCTAAAACAAGGACTGGTCGGCTCGAAGTCAGTATACTGTGTCTGAGTGGGGTATTCATGTTAAACTGCGGCTTGGTATCTCAGTGAGCTAGCACTATAAATCGGCATCAGTCCGGAATAGTACAAGCAGCCACACACATATACTGAACCAAATTCAAAACTTCACAATCCTTAAATTTTAACATCTTGACCAGTTATAATTGTGGGCCCTTATTGTGTATTAAACAGTAATGGCCCCGTATTGTCTTCAGATAACACCCGTTTTGGTGCAGGTGAATCGATCAAAATCGTTTTTTCAGCCATACTTGTTAACAGTCATTAACAAAAAAAGAAAACAAAACTCTTTACGACCATTTGTCATGCCACGCCTTTCAAATGTGCAACGTGAACAAGTACCACCGCTGATCGCCATCGGCCAGGTCGACTACGTGTGACGTCACATGCAGAGGATTGTCTTACGTCACCGCCGTAACCGATTTTTGACGGCTACATCAACCAGAAATGAACTGTTTAAGGGTAGACTCAGTGCGCAAACTGTTCGAAACCGTTTGAGAACTGCTCACCTTCAAGCACGACGGCCATACTGCGGGCCGATTCTGACTCAATTACACAGACGTCAACGTCAATTATGGGCACAGCGACACTTACGGTGGACTCAATTGGAATCAAGTCGTCTTCAGTGATAAATCCCGATTTAATCTTCACTTTGCTGATGGTAGGGCGAGGGTGTGGAGGCGCCGTCATAAACGTTACGTCCAGTATTGTGAACAGGAAGTGGATAGATTTCGAGGCGGAAGTGTCATGTGGCGGGGTGCTTTCTGTGGCAATGCACGTTCCAGGCTTCTTGTCATCTGTGCTAACCTCAACGCTGCTGCTTACCGCGATCAGGTACTGGCACCAGAACTTCTGCCTTTTATGGCATCACATGGACCCGGTTTGATCTTCCAACACGACAATGCCAGACCCCACACAGCAATTGTGACAAGGGATTTCCTTCAGAATGCAGGAGCCAACGTCATGGACTGGCTACTGAACTTGTGTGCCATCAGATTCTCATGCTTGGGACTTATGACTTAAATTATTGATGTTATTACCGAATATCGTAGGTGCTTGGGACAAGTTATGGTTACCACCGTTAATTAAAATCCTTCTTTGGACATTAATGATTAAAAATTACCTTCTCTGATACATTTGTCCGTTGTATATCATATATGGGATTACTTTTAAAAATTTGAAGTTTTTAATTTGACTCAGTATATATGAAGGCAAATTATGTTTATGTCCAAATTAGACTGCTGTGAAAGTCTACTGACTGTATCTTACTAGATCTGGAACATTAGCTGAAACAGTAAATTTATGAAAGCTATTCGAAGCCCGAGTGATATTTAAGCTGCTGAACATGACTTTCAGAACGCATTTTGTTAAAAAGTTTATCAATATCAATTAATAAGTTGATAATAAAAGGTTTTACATAATATGTTATCTACCGTTTGATGTCGACCCAGAACTTCGATCTGATTCACCCGATACACTGCAGGGGGGCAAACTGGACTTTGTATGGTGTGACATGTCATCCTAGAAAAAAAGGAGTCCAACTCGAGTTTAGAATCATTGGGAAAGTGTAGATTGCCTCAGGTCTACACTGAAGTAAGAATTGTTCTGGGCTCCTGTTGGATTTTATTATGATTTTGCAGACGTAGATAGACCAACGAGGAAAGATATCGTTGGATAATTAATATCTCATGTTACGGATGATCCAGTTAAATTCATCACAAAATAAAATAATAGTATTGGATAATGCTTAGTGTGTGATCAAGGGTTAATCAAGGTTGTGTAGCTGGAAGGAGGGTGGTGGTCGTTGTTGCGAGACTTGGTTGTGTAGCTTGAGATAGGTGGGGGGAGAAGGGGAGAGGTAGGGTGGTGGTGGTGGTTGCAAGACTTGGTTGTGTAGGTGGAGGGAGGATGGGGGGAGAAGGGGAGAGGTAGGTTGGTGGTGGTTGTTGTGAGACTTGGTTGTGTAGCTGGAGGGAGGGTAGGGGGTAAACCCACAGCTTCAATCCCCAGCTGAAACCCACAGCTGCAATCCCCAGCTGAAACCCACAGTGATGATATTACACAAGTCACACACTGTCATGTATACGGTATACATCAGTTGTATGGTATCTTAGTCCTCTTCATCAAAAGTAAATGATGCACAGTGTGATGATATTACACAGGTCACACACTGTCATGTATACGATACACATCATTTATATGATATCTTAGTCCGCTTTATCAAAAGTAAATGTTTGCACAGTGTGATGATATTACACAGGTCACACACTGCCATGTATACGGTATGCACCAGTTATTATGCTATGGTAGTCCGCTTTATCAAAAGTATGTGTTTGTACAGTGTGATCATATTACGCACGTCACACACTGTCATGTATACGGTATACACCAGTTATATGGTATCTTAGTCCGCTTTATCAAAAGTATGTGTTTGTACAGTTTGATGATATTACAAAGGTCACACACTGCCATGTATACGGTATACATCAGTTATTATGTTATCTTAGTCCGCTTTATCAAAAGTATATGTTTGTAAAATGTGATAATATTACATTGGTCACACACTGTCATGTATACGGTTTACTTCAGTTATTATGCTATCTTAGTCCGCTTTATCAAAAGTATGTGTTTGTACAGTGTGATGATATTACACAGGTAACACACTGTCATGTATACGGTATACATCAGTTATTATGCTATCTTAGTCCGCTTTAACAAAAGTATGTGTTTGTACAGTGTGATCATGTTACACAGGTCACACACTGTCATGTATACGGTATACATAAGTTATATGGTATCTTAGTCCGCTTTATCAAAAGTATGTGTTTGTACAGAGTGATGATATCACACAGGTCACACACTGTCATTATACAGCATACATCAGTTGTTATGCTATCTTTGTCCGCTTTATGAAAAGTATATTTTGGTACAGTGTGACGATATTACACAGGTCACACACTGTCATGTTTAAGGTATATGTTAGTTGTATGGTATCTTAGTCCACTTTATCAAAAGAATGTGTTTGTACAGAGTGATGATGTAAAACAGCTCACACACTGTCATGTTTACGGTATACATCAGATGTTATGCTATCTTAGTCCGCTTTATCAAAAGTATGTGTTTGTACAGTGTGATGGTATTACACAGGTCACACACTGCCTTGTATACGGTACACTTCATTTATATGGTATCTTAGTCCGCTTTATCAAAATTATGTGTTTGTACAGTGTGATGATATTACACAGGTCACACACTGTCATGTATACAGCATACATCAGGTATTATGTTATCTTAGTCCGCTTTATCAAAAGTATATGTTTGTACAATTGGATGATATTACACAGGTCACACACTGTCATGTATACGGTATACATAAGTTATATGGCATCTTAGTCCGCTTTATCAAAAGTATGTGTTTGTACAGTGTGATGATATTACACAGGTCACACACTGTCATGTATACGGTATACATCAGTTATTATGCTATCTTAGTGAGCTTTATCAAAAGTTTGTGTTTGTACAGTGTGATGATATTACACAGGTCACACACTGTCTTGTATACGGTATACATCAGTTATTATGCTATCTTAGTGTGCTTTATCAAAAGTATGTGTTTGTACAGTGTGATGATATTACACAGGTCACACATTGTCATGTATACGGTATACATCAGCTGTGTGGTATCTTAGTCTGCTTTATCAAAAGTATGTGTTTGTTCAGTGTGATGATATTACACAGGTCACACACTGTCAAGATACGGTTT